TGTTGTTCTGCTGCCTGAGAAGGTCTCCCCAAGCCAGGCCTAGCTGACACTCCTGGGCACATGAGGCCCCAGCCAAGGAGGGATCCCTGGTCCAGCAACAGCTTGTTCATTGTATGGAAGGACACTCTCTGCCCACACCACACAGACAGACAGACAGACAGACACACACACACACACACACACACACACACATATCCCTTTGGTTCTAAGAAGATTCCCCCTCTGCCAGGTCCTCAGGGATGTGAGAAGCCTTTTTGTTTTTTTGTTTTGTTTTGTTTTTTGAGACAGGGTCTTGCTCTGTCATCTGGGCTGGAGTGCAGTGGTGCGATCAGAGCTGACTGCAGCCTCAACCTCCTGGCCTCAAGTTATCCTCCCACCTCAGCCTCCTGAGTAGCTGGGACTACAGGCCTGGCTAATTTTTTCACTTGTTTGTAGAGACAGGGTCTTTCTATATTGCCCAGGCTGGTCTTGAACTGCTGGGCTCAAGAAATCCTCCCTCCTAGGCCTCCCAAAGTCTGGGATTATAGGCATGAGCCACCATGCATGGCCTGAAGCCTTTTTGAAGGAGACAGTTCAGTTTTAACAGTGCCTGGAGCAGTCGACATTGTTGGTCAGCCATTTTTGGATATTGTTTGGTGTCATCAAAAAAGCATGGTCTGGCTGGGCATGTTGGCTCACTCCTGTAATCCCAGCACTTTGGGAGGCTGAGATGGGCAGATCACCTGAGGTCAGGAGTTTGAGACCAGCCTGGCCAACATGGTGAAACCCTGTCTCTACCAAAAATACAAAGAAATTAGCCAGATGTGTTGGTGCACACCTGTAATTCCAGCTACTCGGGAGGCTGAGGCAGGAGAATTGCTTGAACCTGGGAGGTGGAGGTTGCAGTGAGCCGAGATAGTGCCACTGCACTCCAGAGTGGGCAACAGAGTGAGACTGTTTCAGAAAAAAACAACAACAAAAAAACATGATTGCCATCCCAGAGGTCCCTGGACAGCTGGCCACTCAGCAGGCAGAGGGATGAACAAATGGAAAGAAGGGCACTCCTGGTTACCAAGCACCATGCTGGGCACCTTTCCGCTTCCTCCCATTCATCCTCCCAATGGCTCTGTGTGGAGGGAATTGCTTCACCATGTTGCAAATGGAAGACTCACGGAAGTGAAGTGAGCAGGTAATGAAACAGGTGGGAACGCAGCTCCCAAGTGCTCCCCCAGGCAGTGAGTCCATATGTGACAGGTCCTCTGTGCTTCCATGCCCCCCATCAAAGCAGGATTGATTTCCCCACAGGGCCCTGTGTCTATGTTCCATTGCCCTCTGTAGCGTTTCTAGCCTATGGCCAAATCACTGCCACTCAGACACCCCAAGGCAATGAGGCCTCAACACCCAAAACCCAACAGACAGCCAGTATCCCAGTGGACCACGCACAGCTTCATCTTGCCCACCTATCTCTCCAAAGACCTTAGGGTCACTTTCTCTTCTGCTGCGACTCCATGGCCTGAGGCCAGCATGCCCCTGGCTGGGCACAACTCTGAGAAGACCCAGCCAGAGTGAGGAGAAGGCTTCTGTCTTCAGGACCTTGCTTGGCCAGGCCACTTAGTAATGGGGAGGGGACAGTTTGGTTTCCTGTTGGAAGCCGGCCTGGTCTTTCTGCCTCTGATCCTCTAAGGACACCAGAGGCCCTGGCTTGGCAGGAATGAAGGTCTACAGGCACAGGGCTGGGCATGACTCACTCACCTCCAGCCCAGCTCTTCCCATCTCATCTTCAGGGTGCTCGTGTCAAATGGCAGAGTGGAAGGTTGTGAAAAGCAGAAGGTGGGAGCCCAGGACACTTGGGTCCTAGTCCCGCCTTTCTAAGCAGATCTAGGCTTTGGTTTCCCTTTGGGAAGCATTACTAATGACTAGAAGGAGGGAGGAGGTGACAATGAGGCACCCCTTCCCCGCCCACTCTGCCTCTGCATGTCTCAGCACCAGTCCCAGGGGTGCTGGCAAGGAGTGTGGCAGCTTGAGTACATATCCTGCCCTAGAAACACAGAACATGGAGTACTGGCCACACGTTGTTCTTCTTAAGAGCCACCCTCAGTTGGGCCTGAGCAATGCAGACAGATCTAGAGCAAGGACACACCATACTTCATGAGCTGCCCACATTCTCATCTCAGCTCCTCCTGTAACCCTACCTTGCAGGAGTTGCACCAGCCAACTCATGGGCAAGAATGTGGAGTTCCATTTACACCACCCATGCTGATGTGTAAGCTGTGAAAACCACTGCTCTCCCACGAGAGGAAAGAAGAGTGAGCATCGGGGCCCCACCTCAGGCAAAACAGGGCACTAAAAGCTGCTGATCTCACTGGAAGCTGAGCACTTCCGCTGAGCACTTTCATTACAGCCTTTCCCAGTGTGAGCCTGCCCATGGCCTGAGCACCACGTGGGTTCCTGCAAACTGGACGCTCTGTGCAAACAGCTCCCAGCACTTTATGCCCATTATCTTTATGGTTCTTCCACCCGCCGCTTCCCGGGAAGAATCAGAGCAGAGTTCGTGGGATTTGAGAGTCGAGGCAGTGGAGAAGGTACAGGCCTGTAGGAAGCTCCACTGTGCCACTAGACACCCTCATTTTACAGGGGTGAACATCCTGTTAAATATGTTAAATGTAATGGGCAGCTGGGGATAGGGGAAGGAAACTCCTCAAGGCCCCAGGCACTACTTGAAGTGGGCTGGGGAGGGCTGACCTGCCTTCCCAGCCTAGAAGCGTGCCCTAGGCTGGCCACAGAGGGAGAGGGCATCCTCTAAAGAAGAAACAACCATGTTTCCGCCATCGAGGCAGGAAACAGATGGCTTCCACCTAGACCAGGGACTCCAGGAATAATACTTCCCATCTGTAATAAACACTTGACAAGTTTCCAAAGCCCTCCCACCCGTCTGGAGAAGGTGTTTTCATGTCTAGCTATCAGGTAGAGAAGTTGAGGGCAGAGTGCCAGACAATAGAGGTGCTTGGTCCAGGCTCTCTGCTCTTTAAGTCTGGTTCTCACCAGGGGGCCTCTCTGAGGCCTGACCCTTTCTCTGCTAGCTGGGAGGGACACAGATCGTGTAGTTTCCCTCCAGTATGGTGGGCCCTCTCCTCTCTGGCACTATACAGTCATCCCACAAGCAGCTGGTTCCCATCTGGTTTACTGGGAACCCCATCCCTTCCCACAGGGTCCCCCCAGCAGCTCCTGGTGGTCATCATGCAACCCAAGGCTCCTGTGAAGCCAGCAGGGGCCAGCTTCAGGGGTGCTGTGCTCAGAGGGTGTCTGAAAAGGAGCAATTCATGAGCCAGGCACATGGCAACTCCTTTCACTTGGGGCAAACAGGTGTTGGCCCAAACCCCTCATCTCGAGATGCTGTCAGGGAGATAACTGAAGTCCCTCTACCTGTGGATCCCCAGCCAGCTATGCTCACAGCTGCTGGCACTTGGGCAGGAGGGATGCCTGTTTTCGGCTCCGACAGGCCTACAGAAATTGTGTACCCCTGTGGGGGCATGATGGGAAGGTAACCAAGAGACTTCATTTCCCCTCTTCAAGCTGCTTCCTTCCCAAGAAACTAAAAAACATATCTTGAAGAAGGAGAAAATGCCGGTGCTGTCCCCTGTCATCGACCTCCACACCTGTCAGGAGGCCCCTCCCAGCCTCAGCTTCTCAGTGCTGGGACTGTGAGGTGCAAAGAGAAGACAGGAAGAGGCCCCTCCAGTCTGCCCTTTGGTGGCTGGGGAGTCAGGAGACCTGCATGTAGGTAAGAGACCTGCAGAACTCACTCCACCCTCCGTGCCTCAGTTTCCTCATCTGGCTCCAGCTCTAAAATGTCACTCTCTCCTTGCCTCAGTTTCCCTCCAGGGAAAGTCATCTGTCCCAGGGAGAAGAAAAAGGTGAATTCACTTCTGAGGGGAAAGTTCACTTCTGAGGGCAATAGATGGAATGTAGCCCATTTCTCCCAGGGACAGGGGCCAGAGAGAGAACGAGGATGAGGTGATCACAGAGGGTGGTGCTAAGAGATGGACCCTTCTTGAGGGAAACCACGTCTTCTTGGAGTGCTGCAGGCTGTTGAAGGAGAAAGTTCATCTCCTTGTCCCCCTCAGCACGGGCCTTCTCCTCAAAGCCAACTCTCATTCTTTCCTTGAACCCAGAAGAACGGCACAGGCTCACACCCCCTCTGCTAAGATGAGTGTTTTTCATGAGCAATTTTCTCCTGTCCCAGACAATCTAATTCCTGCTTACACCCATGATACCCTGGAGCCCCATGCAGAAGTTGCAACTCCTGGCATTCTCAGGGATGAGGAAATGTGGTGCTGGGGTGGGGGGAGGCCCCAGGGTCTAGAGAGGAAGAAGGGTCCCTGCCCCTCCAGACAGCATTCAGTGAAGGCAGTGCCTGGGAGGCCAGCTCTGTAGGGCCTGCTCAGTGACCTTGGTCAAGCCACAACACCCCTGGGCCTCAGTTTCCCCAGGGCCTTCATCCAAACACAATGTTTCTCTCTCAAGGCCAGGGCGAGTAGGGAGGCAAGAGCCTTTCTTTGGAAGCACATGGGGAAAGGGTGGCATTGTTCCCCTGGGGGACCAGGAGCCCAGCCAGCCCGGCAGCAGCGCAGCAGTGACGTTGTCATAACCCATAACGGCGGAGCAGATTGCCCCCTCCCGTCCCAGCCCAGAGAGTGGGCGGCAGAGCCCTGGGGAATCCCTGGGTGGGGGAGAGGGTAGCCCAGAGCGGTAACTCCCACCTGGCTGTCAGGCAGGAGGCCGGGGACCCCGCAAGCAAACCTCCTACCCACCTCCATCCCCCGACCCAGAGAGGACCGGTCTACTAACGCCACGCCCTCCCGGGTGGGCGGCTCAGGCCACCCTTTCCTGGGTACAAGCTAGAGACAGCCAGCGTGGCAAGGGACTGTGGCGCAGTCTCCCCTACCCCCATCCCTCCCAATGCAAGGTCTCAGAAAGCACAGAAACAAGCAATCCTTCCCCGCCCCCTCCCCGTGCGGGACCTGGATCCTGCGCCCCTTCTTCCCGGCCCGACCAGCCCGGGTCACTGCACCCGCGTCGCGTGCTCACCACATCTGCGTCCTCAGCACCGCGGCCCCAGCCCCAGGCGCGGCGCTCAGGCCGCCAGGCTGCGGTGACAAGCTCCACGCTCCCCACCTGGGAGGAGACTGCCAGCGGGTCCTCCTCCTCGCCGGCCGGGCGAAGCCAGCCCCACCTGGCAAGGGAGTGTCAGCAAATTCCCTTCTGCATCACCACGAGAGAGGCATCCCGGCTCCTCCCAAGCAGGGGCCAACCTTGGCCCCGCCCCAAGGCTCCTCTGACCTGCGGGGGAACCCGGGCTGGCGGATCCTACGCGAAGACCCAGGCTCCGCCTCAGAGACCCTGTAGCTACCAGGAACCATCTGCAAATTATCATCTTAAACGCACAAGGCTGCCGGTCCCTGGTTCCAGCTTGCTTCAGCTCCCCTGATGCACTGGGCCTCGGCAGCTCCTTTGCCACCTCCCCTCGCCCTCCCTGAGGCCTGTCCCCTTTCCCAGTCTCCTTAGTCCCATCAGCCAGAAGCAAGAAAAGCCACCCCACTCCCACAAAGGTAGCCCTCTGCCCCGCCCAAGGACCCGGTCCTGGCACCAGCCCAGTGGCTGGTACCCAGCTGCTACCCAGACTCCTTCTTCCCCAACAAAGGAGCCATCTACAATTGGCCACAGCCCCACCCGGGAGGCCCAAGGGAGTGGGCTGGGTCATTTCCAGTTTGCGGTGGGCCACACTCCTGCAGGTCTCAGAGTTTCATCAAAGTCCTGACCACTCTGCTATATAGACCCTGGTTTTGACCCTGAGGACAGGTGCCAGCGTTTGCAACCCCCAAAGATCAGTGTGCAAAACAAGGGGCAGTAGTAAACAGCCTCTCCCTCCCAGGCAGGAGCCTCGGCACATTCATGTCATAGACATTATCTGGCACTCGCAGTACCAGATAATGGGAGACATCTAATGGGAGAGGAGCCACTGCCCAGCGCTCTCTGAAAGTGACGCCCTTTCACCAGTTAGCGCTGTTAGCAATATGATAAGAAGGCCACAGAGGAAGTCGTGTGAACACAAGGTGCCAGAGGATGGGCTCAAAGGCTGGTTATGCTTTCATGGGTTGATTTCCCCATAACCAGCAGCAGAGCACCCCCTTCCACACAACCCTGCCAGACTGGCACACCCTGGTCATCTCCCTTCCTCTGACCCCCTGGTTCTCATGACCCAGCCACCCCAGGAAGACCCAAGGGTAAGCCACATAGACACATTCCGTCAAAGTCTATCCATTATGCAGTCACTCACCCACTCTTCTTTTTTTTTTTTTTTTACAGTCGCACATAGACACAGCATTCCCACAAAGTCTATCCGATTATGCAGTCACTCACCCACTTTTTTTTTTTTTTTTCTTCGAGACAGAGTCTCGTTCTGTCGCCCAGGCTGGAGTGCAGTGGCTCCATCTCGGCTCACTGCAGGCTCCACCTCCCAGGTTCACGCCATTCTCCTGCCTCAGCCTCCTGAGTAGCTGGGACTACACCCGCCACCACGCCTGGCTAATTTTTGTGTTTTTAGTAGAGATGGGGTTTGCACTGTGTTAGCCAGAATTGCCTTGATCTCCTGACGCCGTGATCTGCCCACCTCAGCCTCCCAAAGTGCTGGGATTACAGGCGTGAGCCACCGTGCCCGGCCCACTGATTTTTATCTTTTTCATTCACGGGACAGGAAGGCTTTTGACCATCTATCTTCAGTGGCAACAGGGCATCAGGGTTCAGGGTTCCAGCCCTGCTTAGCGGCTATCAGTGCCAGCAACCTTGCAGCTCACTTGATCTCTCTTTTTCCCTCATCTGTAATTCTGAGAGGGTTAGTTGGGGTCTCAGACCCCTCTGCCGTGACACTTGTATTCTCCTCTTCTAGGATAAAGACCGGCGGGTACAAAGACAAACCAGACTGGGTCACAAGAATAGCGCTGGGAATGCTAGCTGCCTGCGCTTCAGTCCCAGCTGGCCACCTAAATATGGGACTTAACTTTCTGTGCTTCATTTTTTTTTTTTTTTTTTTGCATATGGAAATGGGAAAAAAACAATAATCATGTTTAAAGGGTGATTGTGAGGATTAAATGAAATATTGTATACAAAATAAATGCTCTGCAAAGATTCATTGTTGTTGGAAGCAAAGTTATGCTATTCATAGTCTGGTGGGACAGCATAAATTCTCAACAGAAGCGGTTTGTCTGTTCCTTCTGCTTCATCATCAAGGCAGCTGTTAAACCCATACCCAACCCCCATCCACGCCCTAGAGGAGAAGCCTGATAAACATCAACGACATGCCATAAAGAGAGGCCAGGTGCAGTGGCTCATGCCTGTAATCCTAACAGTTTGGGAGGCTGAGGTGGGCAGATGACTTGAGGTCGGGAGTTCGAGACCAGCCTGGCCAACATGATGAAACCCAGTCTCAACTATAAATACAAAAATTAGTCAGGTGTGGTGGCAGGCACCTGTAATCCCAGCTACTTAGGAGGCTGAGGCAGGAGAATCACTTGAACCCAGAAGGCGGAGGTTGCATGCGAGCTGAGACGCACCACTGCACTCCAGCCTGGTGATGAGTGAGACTCTGTCTCAGAAAAAAAAAAAGAAAGATATAGTAAAGGGGAACAGAAGCCAGGTGTGGTGGCTCACACCTGTAAACCCAGCTACTACGGGGAGACTGAGGCAGTAGGATTTCTTGAGGCCAGGAGGTTGGGATCAGCCTGGGCAATATAGAGAGAACTACATCACAAAGGAGAGGGAGATGAGAAGAGGAGAGGAGGAGAGGAGGGAGAGGGAGGGGAGGGGAGGAGAGGGAAGGGAGGGAGGAGGGAGGGGGAGAGGGAGGGAAAGGAGAGGGGGAGGGAAAGGAAGGGGAGAGGGGGAGGGGAGAGGAGGGGAGAGGGAGGGGAGGGAGGAAGGGAGGGAAGGGAGAGGGGAGGGGAGGAGAGGAAAGAGGGAGGAGGGAAGGAGAGGGAGGGAAGGAGGGAAGGGGAGAGGGGAGGGGGAGTGAGAGAGGGGAGGAGAGGAAAGAGGGAGGGGAGGAGAGGGGAGGAAGGAGGGAGGTGAGGGAGGGAGGGGAGGGAAGGGAGGAGGGAGGGAAGGGGGAGAGGGGAGGGGAGGGAAGGGGGAGAGGAGGGAGGCGTGGAAGGAGAGAGGGAGGGAGGAAGGGAGAGGGGAGGGAGGGAAGGGGAGAGGGGAGGAAGGGGAGGGAAGGAGAGGGGAGGGGAGGAGAGAGGGAGGAGAGGAAAGAGGGGAGGGGAGGGAAGGAGGGGGAGGGGTGAGGGAGGGGAGGGGAGGAAGGGAGAGGGGAGGGAGGAAGGAGAGGAGGGGAGGGAAGGGGAGAGGAGGGAGGAAGGAAGAGGAGAGGGAGGGATGGGAGGGAAGGGGACAGGGGAGGGGAGGGGAGGGAAGGAGAGAGGGGAGGAGATGGGAAAAGAAAGAAAGAAAGAGAGAGAGAAAGAAGGAAGGAAGGAAGGAAAGAAGAAAAGAAAGAAAGGAAGGAGGGAAGGAAGGAAGGAAGAGAAGAAGAACCCATGGAAGGGAGGAGAACCCATGAAGATGCCAGGTGGGCTGTGTGGTAGGGAAAGAGATGACCCCATTGTCCCAACCAACCACCTAGATGAGTGTCAGGCTTGTAGAAGGTTCTCAGTAAAAGTGTATGGGTATGAATAACTGAGGCTTTCGAAAGAAAGGCCCTTCTGGCCTGTGACACTGAAAACACTTATCATGCTTTTACTTGTGTATTGGGGTGGGAGTGCCTTTGGCCTGAGTTGTCAAATCTGAAAGATTATGCCTGTTATTGTCTTCATGACTGCATTGTTAACCTCCAATGTCTGGTCTGGGAACATAATCCAGAACAATATAAAATAAACAAAAGGACTCTGAGTAACCCTCACAGTGAGCTGAGATCACACAACTGCACTCCAGCCTGGGTGACAGAGCGAGACTCCGTCTCAAAAAAAAAAAAAAAAAGAGAGAGAGAGAGAGAGAGAGAGAGAGGTACAGAAAAGGGGGATGGAAGCCAGGTGCGGAGGCTCACACCTGTAATCCCAGCTACTCGGGAGGCTGAGGCAGGAGGATTTATTGAGGCCAGGAGGTTAAGACCAGCCTGCGCAATATAGAGAGATCTACATCAGAAAGGAGAGGAGAGGAGGGGAGGGGAGGGAAGGGGAGAGGAGGGGAGGGAAGAGGAGGGGAGGGGAGGGAAGAGGAGGGGAGGGGAGGGAAGAGGAGGGGAGGGAAGAGGAGGGGAGGGGAGGGAAGAGGAGGGGAGGGAAGAGGAGGGGAGGGGAGGGAAGAGAAAGGGAGGGAAGAGGAGGGGAGGGGAGGGGCGGGGCTTTTTCTGCAGATGGCCTTGTGTCTTCAATCGGAGCCCACCTTTACTTACTCCACACAAAATTTCAACAGATCCAGTGTGCCAGAGACTGCTAAGAGCCCCTTTTCTTTCCCTCTTCCTTTTTGCAGTAGAGCTCCCAAGGGTAAAACCTGGATTTACGGCTTCCCTACTAGAGACCACATATCCCAGAACCCCTCGCAGCCAGGTGGAGGTATGAACTAAGTCCTAGCCAGTGAGATATGAGTGGAAGTAATAGGTTTAATTTCTGGGCCACATCCTTAAAAGGAAGCTGGCTGTTCTCTACTTCCTCTTTCCCCTTTATGAAGACTGGGATGTGGACATGGGGTGGAGGAGAGGGCAGCTTTGATGATGCTGACCAGGACAACCCCCTAGAGACAGGGTATCAAGGCAGGAAGAACTTGAGTCACCAGAAGACCTGGAGAAGTGCCCTAGAATGCTGACCACCTTGCATTTTCCCATGGGAGAGCAATAACCTTGTAAAGTCACTATTGTCTGGTCTCTGTTGCAGCAGCTGAACCAATAGCCTAAAGGAGAAGCCACTTTCCTGATTTTCAAACCCACAGCAGATGAGCAGGAGCATGTTAGAAGGAAAAAGGACTAATAAGAAAGCAAGTACAGTGAAAAGGGCAAAAGTCAAGAGCAAGAGAAGAGAGAACAATGATAAACAAACAAACAAACAAAAAAACAAACAAACTTGACCAGGCGCGGTGGCTCACGCCTGTAATCCCAACACTTTGGGAGGCTGAGGCAGGCGGATCACAAGGTCAAGAGATCAAGACCATCCTGGCCTACATGATGAAACCCTATCTCTGCTAAAAATACAAAAATTAGCCGGGCATGGTGGTGTGCACCTGTAGTCTCAGCTACTCGGGAGGCTGAGGCAGGAGAATCGCTTGAACCCGGGAGGCAGAGGTTGCAGTGAACCGAGATGACGCCACTGCACTCCAGCCTGGTGACAGAGTGAGACTCCGTCTAAAACAAAACAAAACAAACAAACAAAAACCC